CCCCCCCCCCCCCCCTTTTGTTTTTCAGAAATCCTGTTGCTCCGTTTTCACAGAAGAAATGTGCACGCGTCTACGTATAAAAGAAAATACAAGACAAAGCCAGGAGACTTCAGGGAGGGCTAATGCTTAAGATTTTTTTTTGCTTAAGGAATGGGCACGTGTTAGGTTTATACCATACATATCTCATAGGAACTACATCAATGTAGAAAGATGTTTTTCTGCAAGTCTAGAGGGTTAGTTTTCTAATTACAAACACACACAGAGAGCACTTTTGGATTGGCGGTGGAGCTGGATATTGGAAGAATTTGAATTGATAAGGGATAGAGTGTAGTCTTAAAGACAAGGGAGGTTAACAACTTGGTAAAATAAAGTTGAGATGGCGAAGGTGGTGGAGCCATATTTAGTTTAGAAGTTTACTATATGCAAGTACATGAACGCCTGTAGGAGTAAGTGACTTGGGGTAGGTTAGTAAGAAGCCTCTGCTTACTAATTACAGAACGAGGTACAATCTTGAGAAATTAAAGCTCTCATCTGCCTGTTCTCATCAGGAACAACTGCTGCTTACACAGGGCAGTTGCAAATAGGCTGTACCCTTCCCCTCTTCTAAGCAGAAGATGCTGGTCACTGTGAAGGTCATTTCTGAATCAGAAACAACAGGACTGTGGCATAAACCCCAAAAGTGCAGGGCTTGACTTAACTCTGCAGTGGCCTAAAACCCGAGAAAGGGAGCCCACGCAATTAGGGGACCACGAGACTTAAGAACTGCAAGACACAGACTTGTCCTTTCTCACTTCCCAGCGCAGGGTGAGCTTCCCTGTTCAGCTACAGAGGAGGTTTTGTCCGAGTTAACCTGATCAAGGAGGATTTAGCAAGAAAACTGACAGCTGAAATCCAGCAGTTCCAGAGCACAAAGTCCAGTCACCAGGCAATTAAAACAAGGTACAGGGTCACCGGGCAAGGGCGAGGCAGTGAGTGATGGGCAGTTTGCATTGTTCTCTTGCTCTCGGAGAAGAATCTTTGAAATTCATGGGGAACAGTTCTCTCAGCTGCCTATGAAACAGTTTCCTAATAAAGCTGTTTTTCATTTCAGAGCTGGAACGACTGATGCAAACACGTGTTGGTTTGCAAAGTCGTGGTTAAATTGCTCCGTTTATGTACTGCACATCTGATGGGGGGGGAAAGCAAATTCAGTTACTTGGAAATGGCTTTAACTTCACTGCATGAACAAAGAGGCCAGTTCCTACCGGTCCCAGCATTAAATAACTGAAGGCAACAGAAACTTAACGTGCCTGTGACAGGAAAATAGCTGGGTGCTCCTGGCCAAAGCGCTGCACGTCCGCTTGGAGGGTAACTCAGTGAGACTCAACTTCCAGCTGCTGCAAAGGGGCTCAGCCCAGCTGCAGAGCATTAGTGAGGCCAAACAGGGAGAGCACCAGGAGTCCTGCTGCTGCGCCCCCGGGTCCCACCGGCTCCCTGGGACACGCAGTGGAGCAAGGTCTGTTAGGTTAGAGGGTGGATCAGTCCTTCAGTCACGTTAACTGCAAAGAGCCTGAAACATTTTGGGTAAGTTTAAAAGCTGACATGGAAAATGCAATGTCAGATTCACTTAGCACTTTAAAAACTATTTGGTATGTGCCATGTCATTGCTGGCAGAGTAGGCAGAGATGTATAAAAAAAGGTTTCATTGACATTTAAATATATTTCTATATGAATGTCTCACAGAACAAAAAAATAAAGTCTTTTCATCACAAATACTGCAGCATTAAAATAAACACTTACCAAAATAAACAATGAGTGATATACATATATATATTTGAGTGTGTATACTATAGAGTGAATCATATTGTTGCTTTTTAAGTCACAAAAGCACAATATAAATACGGAATTTCCTGTGAACTCTTTTCCCTGTTGTAATAAAAATACATTCTTTACAGTTAAAGTAAAACTAGTGCAAGTCCATTCTGCTGCTCCTGTTCCCCCAGCTGACCATAACCGTATCATTTACATGGCACTTCATACTTAAAAATGACACTGAAAATTTTCCCTCCGAGACGATCCGCGAGCCAGGAGTTCTTGATAACGGCGAGCTTGAGGCTCTCGCACTTCAAGGCTGCGTAGTAGTTGGTGTGGATGGCGCGGCCCATGCCCTCGATGATCACCAGGTCTGTCTTCCGCTCCCTGACCAGCACGGCCAAGCCCTTGTCCAGGCGGCTGGAAGGAGAGGTCGGGGTTAGGGACGGTCCCCAGGGACAGAGCCTGCCCGGGGGCTGCCTCGGGCACGGAACTGGCGATGCCAGTAAAGAGGAACACTTGGCGTCAAAGTGAGATTAAAAGCTTCATCAAGGGCATGCAGAATTGGGATTTCCCAGGAAGCACCGGTAAGCTCAGTCTCCAACAGTCATTACAAATGAACCCGTTAACGACACGAAACGCTTCTGACAGTCAAGTGAATTTTGTGGTCACATGAAGGATTTTACATCCTCCGTAACTACATTGCTTGTGGAAGTGACGGGGAAAAAATCTTCAGCTTAGTAAGGCCTGATCAATATCAATCTTAGGCTGTAAATCCAGACTAAGCAACTCTGAGTGGTTGGGTGAAAGCGACTCCTCTCAGCAAAGGGGGCTGAGCCTCCCAGAGCCAGCCCGGAGCATCCTGCTGCTGGCGGAGACAAACCCCAACGCGGGGCTTTGCCAACCTACCTGAGATCCAGACACGGGGAACTCGAGCCCGTCTGAACCAAGAGCAGCTTCTCTTCCCTCAGGGCAGACCTTTAGTTAGAAAAGAAGGAAAAAAGGTTAAACAGCTGCTGCCACAGGGTCGAGCAGCTCTACAGTGAGTATCTAACGCCTCTTGGCAAAGGCTTTTTTCCTGCTGGGCCTTCACCAAGAAACGAGCAAAAGGGTGATTTTGTCAGCTAAACCTTCTACTGGGGACACTGTTCTGTGAAGTATGTGCAGTTTCCTCTGTTCTTTTTAACGTAGAAAATTTATGTTTTAGTAGCTTCGGTGCTTATCAGGGAAGACACAAGAAATACAATTATGGATGTTCAAGAAAGATCTGAGTTCTACATTTTTTCACCTTAAGGAAAGTAAAAGATCTGCCTTAGCCTACTTCCAGACTGCAGGCTTCAGACAAACACAGTTAAATAGGAACTACGTAAGAAGGAACGTTTTCCCTCTCCGTGCTGTGCGACACACGGCCGGGGTCGCCCACTCACTGGATGACGGGATCCATCGCCGCGATGCGCTCGGTCACGATCAGGGACTCGCTGTAGGTGACGTCGTTCAGGGCAGGGCCAGAGTTACAAGCCAGTATAACCTGGGGTCAAGACGGCAGAAGAGTTCCCCAGTTACCGCAGACGGAGTTAGAGCTGCTTGCTCCTTTCAAATCCCCCTTGCCTGACTTGTTTTACAACAGAGGAAATGCAAAGACCAAGGCTGGAGGCCTGCTCCTCCTTTTCCCTCCCTGAAGCAGCTATTTCAGGTCTTCTGCCCTCCCAGACCCTGGGGCAGCAGCCTCGGCTCTGGCAGAGGCTCCCTTTGCTTTGCCACCTTTCCCAACTGCTTCGAGTTACTCTTGAGAGTTCCAGGGATTTGGATTATTCCCAATTTAGATGTTAGGAGCCCGTCTGGTAAAGTACTGCTGGTAGGTAGCTAAGGAACCTTTCACCAGCTACCAAAGCTCCACTACAAAGCGAATTAAACAGTGAAAAGCACTTACCTCTGTCCCTCTAGAAAGGAGCTCTCTGACAAAAGGAAAGACTCCTAAAATTATGTCTATTCCACTGTTATCTGCGAAAATTAAGGCACATTTATGAGGGGGACCCTCCTGTAAGAGAAAACCAACGTATTCAGGACTGAGTTCAGAATTCGGTTCGGTGTCATGTAGAACTACTGGCTTCAGCCCCCACATTTCACACCCCTGAACGCCTGGCGAGTGAGTCTGGTTCTCTGGCAGCAGCGTAAGAGCAGAAATCACCTACCCTCGGCCTTCGAGGAAATCGCTTTCCCTAGCCCTGTCTTTGCCCAGTTCTCTAAACCAGCCTTTCGGGCCTTGGCTCTGGGGGAGAGGGGGCTTTGCAGCTCCGTGAGCAAACCCTGCGCAGGGCAGCGCCCGGCCCCAGCGGGAACGCGCTGCGGGGTCAGGGTGAACCTACCTTCGCGGGTGTTTTAAGCTAGCAAGTTGTAGGGTGAACAGGATTCCCTTCTGCCAGGAAAGGGCAGGATGGGCTGCTGGGGGCAGTGACATCCTAAAATGAAAAGATATTGCCTGTTCTCCATTAACCTTTTCATTTGTTCTGAATCTGATATCAGTTACGAAACTCGGTTCACTCCAGGTCACACTAGCAGAGGAACTTTTATAGTGAACAATGCTTAATTCCTAATAAAAAAGATTGTCAGGACAGCGCTTGAAGTTCCGTAATTATCACTGTTAGACAAGATTAGCTGATACTTCTGTTTTAAGATGTAACACGCAGCGATTTGCAATAGCCTGCTCACACCAAACCTTTTGGCTATCGTTTCCAACACACGAGATTTACACAAAGAAACAAGAGCTTTTCCATTAGCCTTAATTAAAGAGTCACAGAGATCACACGGGGCAGAAAAAGCTTTGCTAACTGGTAAGTTAATTACTTTCAGCGAGCTCCCAAATTAAAAGTCTCTTTTAGGTTGGCTGCTCAGATGGAGGAACAATCCAAACATCACGTCCGGACCCAAGTTTTTAAAATTGATGGGCCTAGTTGTATAGAAATAAGTGCCCTTATAAAGGAGGGACAATATGGTCACTTTGGAACAGCTCTGAAGGCGGCTGGGTACCAAATGCTGCAGTTTCTGAAGGAATTCAGCTGAGAAACTTGCTAAGTAATGAAGTGTCAGACTAATTGCTTTTATTCCTTTCTCTGTGGTAAGGCTGCTGCATTACCAACACTGTGTTACCAGGATTTGTTTTGTCAGAACAGAGTTCTGTTCAATCTGCTAAAAAAAAAACCCCTGGGATTAGTGAAGTGGTTTTATGATTAATGAATTTAATTACTGAACGGTTGGTAACAATGGAGTCGTACCTTCAGTCGCTCCAGCCACTGACTGTAGGAATCTTCTAACCAGGGTCGTTCTGTGTCACAGACAAAATCATGTCAGCATTTCTTTCCGGCAAACAGTAATTCTGTACGTTATGAAAAGCAGGAGGCGTCTCTTTGCAGGTGCTTAAGCATTAAGGCATTTGGGCTCAGGTTGTGAATGTTAAATGTGCAGATTCAAAGGGTTCCTGAGCTCCTCAGTACAGGAATAGCTCAATTACAGCAATCTCCAAGTGGGATTTTTGGACTAAAGCCATGGAGTCATGCAAGGTGGCTACTGGAACTGCTCATCCCGGGATGGATGGTGGCGCGTCTCCTTGACAGGGTTAGAACACTGATGAAAAACAGCGCGGGCAAAACACTGGGAATCGCTGTGCAGCTGAGGCTTCTGTTCAAGGAGAGAGGTTTCCAGGTTTCGGTTCCTTTGGAACACGAACAGGAACAGGGACACCCCACGGCAGCTCTGCAGCCTCTCAGACAACCCGGGCAAGCACGAGTGAGTTCTGGTCATCCGGGCGGCAGAACTGCCCCGATAGCCGCGTGCTCCCCTCCGCTCCCACACCACCCAGCTCCAACCACCGCCGCAGAGCTCCCTCTACCTTGTAGTTTTGACTTGGCTTCTTCAAATCCAAACTGTGGCTCGGATTCCAGAACGCTGCATCAGAAGAGAAATAAAGGGTAAGCAGTTCAGCGACTTCATCTCACGTAAATACAACTCAAACATTTCTTTAGCAGGTGCTCAGCAAGGCGACTGCATTGGTACAGTGGGGAGTGGGGTAGGTCCAGTGGCTGAGAACAGATACCTTGTGCTTGTGTTAAAAACAAAAAGCTCAGATGTACCTTAAACTGAGAGTTCTTATGCTAAAAGAAAAAAGCTTCAGCAATGTATCGATGTTTCCAGGCACCAGGCTAAAAAAACCACCTTTGGTCTGCAGACCACCGTAAATGTAGTCGTGATCTAAAATATCTGCCTGGTAAAACTGTGCTTTACAAAGTCTAATCTGAAGACTGGTCTACAAAAGTTTGTGGGTTTTTTTAAATTGTACCTTCACAGGGAAAAAAAGGAATTAAAATAACCAGACAGAGGTTTTAAAAGCTACTACTAGTGGCTATATGGATAGTAAACCAGCCCAAAGACGCAGGTGGTGAGGAGGGTTTCGATTCTACTCTGCCAGTTAAAATGTGACACCACATGGGCGGTGCTTGCCAGGCAGGTCTCCTGAAGTTCCTTAAATCGAGTACTGACATTTAACTCGGTCTCTATCTCTTAGTTCCTTCCTCAAAGAGAATGAGAGCGACACCAACACCAGTGGCGAGTGGATTAACTGCTCCAACTGGCATCAGCTCAAGTTTCTGGTTGTGGGCAACGTCGGAAGTACCACAAGACTAAGAACGCCCACGTAGCCCTAAACCACCTTATTTTTAATAGACTTTTCTTGATTTAATCAGAGGGAAAACTCAAAGATGCAGAAAGGTAAAGGAAGTGCTGAATGTCAGCTGTACAGTCCTCTCATGCTGTTGGATCTGTATTATCAGTCCCACAAAAAAAAAAAAAAAAAGCTCTAGAATTGAAAAATCAAAAATATTTCATGACTGTTGGCATTAATAAACAAATTCCTGGCTGCTGACAGGACATAAGGAAAAAATTTCTCCAAATGGTAACAGAAACGTACGTTGATCAAAAAGAATTAGCATTTAGTCATCAAGAGACCACCCACCCTAACGTACAGCCCGCTGAACAGGCACCGTGGCAGCGGGACAGCTGGAGGGTGCAGGGAAAAAGGGGATTTTCTGCCCTGGGAAGGCAGTACCACACGGTGAGGGTGCTACAGCAGGCAGCCAGGCTGGACTGTTACATGCTCCGTCACTTAATTCAAACATTCTGCCAGATCCGAAGGGTGGAAATGGAAACTCTCCCACACCACAACAATGCTCGTGAAGAAACAACCAACATTTGAGTAAGGCGAAATACAAGCTACAAGTAAAGTTAGATTGGTGCACTTTTTTTTTTTTTTTTTTTATTCTGTATCTTAAAAGGGTGCTTTTAAAATATTTAACACCTACTCTGAGACTGCTTTTGCTCCCCAGTCAAAGACATTCCCCGCAAGAAGTCCTTTCACCAGAGCAAACTGCCTCTCCTCCCAGCCTAATGAATCCAAAGATTCGATTACGCTTTGAAAACATTTTAAGGCTATGCCATTTTCTTTCTGCTTTACCTGTAAGAAAGACATGAAACATTGGATTTATAGACAAAAATTTCTTACCCATCATTGGTTGTCTCAGTCCCAAGACCACGTTCAAGCATTCTCCGCTACGTTCATGGCCTCTAATGGACCAACAAGTTACTGTTATCAGCATGATTGGTATCAACAAGAAAAAAGTTTCCTGGGATTCTAATAAAAAGCTTCACTAGTGCTAGGACATCATCTGTAGCCCGAGCATTACTTTTCTTAATAAGCCAGAGCTGCAGATCTTGAGCAGACTGGGAAACGGGAGAACAGACACACACACACCCCTTTAGCAGTAACACAATCCATCAAACCCAGGTAATTACCATCGGAAGGCTTACCACCAGCAGCCTTACAAAAACCGGAGGTTTGCTTTTTTATTTTGTCATCAAGACTTTCATCACCCCAGATGCTTAGAAGCTCTTGATTTTTATTTTTTTTTTCCTGTGCCTCTATCTCCGGTGAGATCTGTGTTACATAGCTAGTTATCTTAAAAGGTTTAGAAGTGACACCGGGTACCATCTTTCATCAAGATCTTTTCTTGGCAGTACCTCGTCTGAATTACCAAAAAGCAAACATAAGTAAAAGCCATCTCCCGTATTTTTTTACCTCTGTCTTAGAGTGAATGTAACATCTGACAATACAGCTAGGGAGAACCTTCTGCGTATTTTGTAGAAATACATCAACAGTCAGAAAAAAGCCTCTAACCAGGCGCTGGCACTGATACTGTTTACATGTCCACACAGACAAGTGGTGAGGATCAGACCTACCAAAGGTTATTTTTGAGAAATACTGACTTCACAAGTATTATGTTACAGAATAAAATGCAGAGACTAAACAGCTGCACAACAGCCACAACTATTTTTTCAGAGCTAGGGGTTATGGATTTGTATATATGGTAACCCATGCTGAGTGCCTCCAAAATTAAAAAAGTCATTTATAGCACAGCAGCAAATTAATCCAGAGACAACATGCAGGAAAGCAGCACAGCTGGGTTTAAGGACCGACTGCCTCAGCTAGCAAGGGAATGTGTGAAGGGTTTGGGGTTTTTTCAGGTCTTTTTTTTTTTGATGGGATGAGGGGGGGAGGATGACGAGCTGTTGATGAACACACCCCCTCCTCTTCCTTTTCTCTGCGTGGAGCTGTTGAGGTTGTTAACAGGGTAACAATGCAGGTGACTCCTACACCTGCCTGCAATTAAGGTCTTTATTGGGAAGTACTTACAGAGCTACAGAGGGCTTTAAATTTGGAAATGGCTTCCACACCATGAAGAGAATAATGAGAAGAATCCCTGAAGTCTGCCAGAGTGCAGTGGCAGCCTCAGTATAATCTGCCTGTGCTCAGAGCTGAGCTCCTGAGGTGAGCTGTGAGGTGCCCCACGGTCAGAAGCACCGGCTGTGCCGGCACCTGCCCCAGTCCCGAGGGGCCAGAGGTGCCTCCTCACCCCGGGAGCGAGTCAGCGCTGCCACGGCCCCGCGCGCTCCAGCTCTGTGCCCTCCAGTCCCACACGGTGGCCACCCCCGGGCTCGTGTTACCCTCCCGACCAGCGGGCTAGAGGCCAACAGCTCCCCATCCCCTCACCCACGGCCGTTTCGCTCTGGCAACAACCACCAGCTGGTTAAAACCCCCACAGGCAGCCAGTTCCTAACCCCCCTCCCAAGCAGTTATTATACAGACTTTCAGAGTATGGAAAAAGTGTCTTCAACTTACATGTTGTCCACCCTGTAAAGCAAGAACTTACCTTGGAATAGGGATCCGGAAAATTGAACTCGTTTAAACAGTGTTCCCTTGTATCCAAAAGACTTCTAACTGTTAAGGTACCATACGCACTTTAAAAAGGGAGAAGGGGGGGGGAAAGAGATCAACTCCTTGAAACAGAAAAAAGTTATTTTTCCCCTCTGTCTGCTCCATAAGTCACAGCAGGTCACATGAGTTAAAAGTCTTTACATGCCACATGAGCTAAAGACTGTCTCCAAGTGGTAACTCTGCTGTACAGTTTCTTTAAATAGAGAGGGAAAACGTTCAGAGCCGAGCTGGATCCTTGAATTAACTCGCTACCATTTTTAATCATAAATTTTCTGCTGATATAATTCCGGTATCTGAGCTCCCAGACTTGCCGTTTGACACATCACCTTGCTACAGCCTTCAGCCTACTCAGCTCTGTTTGCTCTGCTTCGTAACGTAACGAGCCTTTATCTAGCTTTTCGTTGGGTTTTAGTTAGCCTTGCATTTGCTCTGCTCAACAGGAGCAGCAAGTGCTGAAAAAGAGAAAAGAAAGGCACTTACAAAGGCTGTTGCCTGAGCGTCTGGAGCTTATTCCAGTATTTCTGTCGGAACTTTTCGGCTCTCTGCAGCGCGTCAATAGAGTCTGGCTGACTGGCTGCAGCACGCTTTGCCACCTGGTAGACAAACGAGGCACGACTGAAGTTACCCAATGAATTATTCTTCCCTGGAACTGATCTGAAGTTCAGTCTGGAAACTAACCCCTCCATCTGCTACTGCTCAGTGCCTGCATACATCTAGTCCCTCCCACGCAGCATCCTCCAGCTTGCCTTTACTCCAGCCACCAAAGAATAATTTTAAATCCCTTCTTTCTTCCCAAAAGACTGGAAGTTTATTTTCAAAACTGTACTTCCAGAAATTAAACACGAGTTCTAACAACTTATAGGAGGGGGGAAAAAAATAACAAATGCGCGCACACACACACACACACACACACACAAAAGGAGAAACAGGCAGAAATTCAGCAGTCCATATCAACCCTCTGAGTTCTTTTTTTCCTTTACTACAGTCAGCTCAAGTCAATGTTTCACGCTGTGTTTTTCCCAGCCTTTTTCCTCCTGACACATGATGTTTCTGATTTGGATTTGCTTACTCAGGATACACAGCTCTTAAGTATCCGCACACACGGGCTGAATCAGTTTCACAGCGCAGAAAAAAATAACTCCTGTCTGATGTAACTAGGCTCTTTGAATGCAAAAGTGGCTGTAGGTCTGTAGGGCTGCTCCCAGGACTAACAACACTGTGAGTATCTTTGGCCTTTGCCTTTTTGGCCTTTGACTGTATAACCCCCCTGCTTGCCAGCTCTGCATAAAGTGGGGGTCAGTGCCATTTAAGAGAGAATATGCTTTGAAAACACCTTTAAAAAAAAAAAAAAAAGCACCACAGGAGAAGAATACTTTTGCCTTTGAAGGTATCACGTGGTAACTTAGGAGCCTGGGACAACGTCAGACACCTCTGGTAACAGGGGAAGGAGGAAGTGTACTTACAATAGGTTTGACCCGCAGGTCTATGTTGGCCCACAGCAGATTTATTTGCTAAATATTTGTGTCATTCACACACAGGACTGTTTTGTGACATTTACCCCGTCCAGTGCCTCCTCAAAGCAGGTGAGCCAGTATTTTCTGGCCATGGCATCATCTGTGAGGTCAACGGTGTCTGGAATATAGGTCGATGGGTCTTTCAGCAGTGGCAGGTTAACCAGCGGTCTCTCCAACCTATCCATTTCAAGCATGTCAAACTAGGTGGAAAAATGAGAGAGATTTATCAGAACTTATTCAGAAATTGATTCATAACAAATTAAACTATCCAAGGGCTACAGACGTCCCTCCACAGTCAAGACTGACACATCTGCAGACGCCTACAGTCGAGTACGTGTCATCATAAATACACCACTCCCTTGCACGGATTATTTATCCATGCCCACCCTTAGAGATTATCAAGTCTCACACTGAAAATTTACTGTAGCCTCTCTATTTGATTATTTTCCTTCCCTCTCTCCCCAGTACTGTCAAATCTGCTGGGCTATCAGGTTCAGAGACAGGAGCACAAAGAGCTGAGCACAGGCTTATTTGTAAAGGGACGTTGCTGTGCTGCTTTACAACCTGTTAACAATCCTGAGCGACTCTCCAAAACTTTCCCTTACGCCTTCCGAAAACAATGCTTGGGTTAAAATTTCTAAGGCTAGAGATTAAATTCATGTGAAACAGGTATAATTACACAGCTCCGTACATACAGTGTGCCTCACTTCTAGTGTCTGGGAAAAAAAAAAAAAAGTGCACGTTTATCTTTATTTTATGCCACTATCTAATCGTGTTGCGTTTGCGAACACAGCACGGCCTAGAAATGTTCAAAGTAAAGATGAAAGCCCACAATGTAACAAGAGTTTGTGGACATAAACCAAAGTAGCTGCTATAGAACAACTGGTTTTAGTATTAGATTCACTGCTGAATAAATACTTTTTAAAATCTGTCATACATTTTGTGATTAAGAATGATCATGCCATCGTTTTTGCGGTCATACTTCTAATTCACAATTTCATTACAGTAATTTCAGTTATGGCAGAGCTTAAAATTACATAGGGGTTTTTTTACATATAAATACATCCCATGAAATCCATCGTCTGCAGCTCATAGTGGGCTCATATTAAGGTTTGGTCTGGGAAACCATTCAGTAAGAGTTTTGCGCCTTGTCTTGAGCCTAAAAAAGCCGAGTAACCAACAGAAAAGAACTAAGCACGGCCAAGACCTGCTCTCCCTGCCCCTGCACCCTACAGCAAGTACAGGCTAACTCCTGAAAGCCGGGAGATAAATCAGTGATGGAGGAAATTTAAAAAAAGGTGACATGAAAAACACTGACGCGTGCACCAGTAAGAGACCGTAAAACACGACGAGCGCCACTATTTGAGCCTCTTTTCAAAAGCGCTTCAGTAGATGCAGTATTAGAATATTTTAAGAACCTTAATGTATTTGCTGATTGCTTACTGTATGCCAGTTTCCCTGTGAAATCAGAATTACTCTACTGTCAGTGTATTTAAGGGATGACTGGGCTCATGCTCTTCTGTCCAATTATCTATCTCTCTTCTCATAGGAAGCAAATAAATGCTGCCTAAAGACAGTGGAACGCCAGATTCAAAATTCTGAAGCACAATATTTCACCTGTAGCAAAATCCAGCTACTTCAGAGAGAGGGTAAGAGATGAACGTTCCCCCCCTCCCATGCTTTGGTGAAGGAGAACAAGACACAGTAGCAGCCACAATCTCTTTTTATGAGACATTACATCAAACCACCACACAAGACACAAGACAACATCACACACGACACAAGACACCGTATTTTTTGGTAAGCAGGAGTCCCAGGGGCAAGAAGCAACTAGCTTGAGAATAATCATCTGTTTTCAAACCGCCATTACTAAGAGGAGGCCCTTAGTTCCAGAAAGGACAACCACATACTGTACCACTCCTTGTTCTCTGCATGGGGTAAACGTCAGGTGATGTGCTCATAAGACCAGAACTCCCAGCATAATTCTCTCCCCAGCTATACTGATTTGGATCTAGAAAAGAGAAAGACAGAGAGACACATAATCTGAAAATAAAACTGAAAATACTCCCATGAGTGAGTCTCCCATGAGTTAGCATCCCTTCAGAGAAGCTGCTCCACTACAAAAGCCATCTTCCCTTGCCTTTATAAGTAAACATAATTCTTCCCTCTAACCCCCAAAAGAAATGTTTCACCACTCAGTGAGTTACCGAGCTCTAAAGAGCTTCAACCTGAATGAGATGTAAAGCAATTACAGTTCTAAAATCACTCTTTAACCCCCTTCCCTTGCCATGAAGGGCTATAACCAGCATGCCTTCAACGCACTATCACTGATCTGAGAGGTTAATTGCTAATTTTAAATCTAGATTGATTAACCAAATATAATTACAAAACTCCCAAATCACAGTGCAAGTTTCATATAAACACTGAAGTTACTTCCAGAATTATTTTTTTTTATTTAATCACGTTCAGATGTACAGTACATGCTCCAGAAGCAACATCTTTAATTTCTCGGTAGCTGGTTCCTTGCCCATAGCTATAAAATGGGTAAGAAAAGAATTCCACATCCATTATTCTGAGGTATAGTTGATATTTACTAAAACTAAGAACCATTAACAACCTCACTTTCTGTTCCACTGTAACTACTATGCTGACTGGCTTGCTAGTATATCAACGACAAAAAAAAAAAAAGAAAAATGGCAGAATTCAACCAAAGCACCCTATACCCAAAGAATGTGGGACAGAGGTGTCTCATCCTTCATAAATGTCTGTGAGGCTTTTCACTCTCAAACAAACACAGTTTTGAGATGCTGGCTGTCTTCAGTACATTAACTGAATGCAGAAGCTGGCCTCTTAAATAGGGGGAAGTTCTCAGAAACCACGTTTCCCCGGTTTGATTTAGAGTTAGGACTGCTCTTTGCAGAAATGCAGGAAAGAGAAGAGCCAAATCCTGCTGGCTTCTCACAGGTGAGCAGGAAAACCAGCAAGACGTTAGGATGTCCCTGCCAGAATACAGAAAACCAGAGCCCAGCATCTGTGTGTGTTAGTGCCAGATGTATTCATTTAGGCAACAACTTACATGCAGCCTCTTAAGAGAAACTTGGACATTACACTGACATTTCAGAACACAGCATATACAGAACATAGCAGTGCTGTACTTACTGTCTTGTTCAGCTCCTTTTAAAAATGCCCCAATGGCTCCCAGGTAGCCTTCATGTCTCAGGAACAATGCCTGAACCTCTCCCTGCCACAATATGAAACATTGCAATTGGATGGTCCCTGATGGCTAACATGTACTTCTTTGTCACTAGTTTTACACTTAAATTTAATAGAAACAACTAGAAGATGGTAATATTCATTTGTGCTACATTCTAACACATTCAGTAACTTTATTTAACTGTGCTTCTGAAACACAGCTTCAGGAGAAACTGCTTACATACATCATTCCACAATCATTAAACAGCTGGGGGAAAAAAACAAACAAACAACACATGCAGAAGTGGTGTGTGTTCTAAGCCTGCACAACCACAGAAGCAGAGGGAAGCCAGCGCCTTCACTAGAAAAGACCACTGCATCATTCCATGAATATTCAACTCCTCTTGCTTGAGCAGGCTGGAAATATTTGGTCATCTGATTTCGAGGTGCTCAGCGAAGGTGTGTGCCACTGTGCATCCCACACATTCCAGACACTGCTCCGTATCTTTGGTTCCTGACACAGCTATTCAACGCTCAGCAACATACAGACACGCTGGATATTACCTGTAGGCAAGCATTTTCCCCATCACAGGAGTTTAATTGTTAATGGAATACACGAATGCCAGGGAGAGTAACACCCTCCAGCCCAGCAGCAGGGACCCTCAGCTTCCCCAGGCAGGGCTGGGAGGGGCACTGCCTTCTCTAACGGAAAATGGGTAAGAGGAGAAGAACAGTTAATGCTGAGGGAACCTACAGTGAAAGATCTGCTACAGGCCACGGTGAGATCTGGGGTTGAACCAAGCTATTCTTGCAAGAATCTCAAGCTGCAGTTTTGTTTTAGTGGAAGTTTTTGGGTTTAGTTTACGTGAAACCCAACAAGATTTTACAGAAAGGGACTGCAATGGTGAAATAAAGGGGGGAAAAAAAGCAGCATACAGGAGTCTCTTGCCTGAAGCACTCAGATGAGGGGAAAAAAAAAAAAAAAAAGTGTCATCTATTCTATAAAATTGCAGAAGTGCCGGAATTAATCTACCTGTAACAACCATTAAGTGAGCTTTTGGACTTGACTGTTTTTCTAGTGAAAAATCTTCAGTATTTTCCACAGCTTCAAAACCTGCAAAGAACTACAGCTCGGTTGTTTTGGTTTTGTTTTTTTTTTTTTTT